TAAAATATAGTGGCAGTAATAACATAGCTTGCCCCATCATGCACGTCAAAAATTTCTTGCTTGTGCGATTCGAACATTGCATATCCGTAGCTATCTGCATGTAACCAAAGTCCTAATGATGATTGAAAATTCGGGAAAACGACACTGTTTTTGTGTTAACGTGTCATAATTTAGATGCACAAAATGGTATAATTGCACTAACTTTGATAGATACAACGTCTACGATATATATAATTTGATATATTCACACACAAAGGTCAAAAATGTTATTTCATTCTTTTGGCTACCACACCTACGACAAATTTACCCCGTGCCCGCATAGACAACTGACAATTCAGTTGATCACAAAGCTAAAATTTGATAATAATGACCTGGAGTCGAGTCTCACCAGCGATAGTGTAGGAACAACAACGTAATCTCTCAAAGTGAGGGATTCTTTTGTGCACAGTAACTATCTGTATAAGTGCGCGGATAATATTTAGTACAATTAATACTATCTATATGGTAGTTAATCTTTCCTTTTATAAATATTACTCATATTTCACGGAAGCTCTAAACATATATGATAGTTGACACACGTATGTGGGCGGTAATGACCCGATTGAATTATTGTAACACTTCTCGTGTTGAATATTGCATTAGAAGCTTGCCTAACTATTTTAATTTGTATACTCTAATAACATCTATTAATCTTTTGAACGGAGACCGGCAAGTCAAGTTTGAGAGGTAATTTAGCACAAACCATAATATATAATTCAAAGGGTTTTATACAATTCAACCTGAATGGAGACCGGCAAGTCAAGTTTGAGAGGTAATTTAGCACAAACCATAATATATAATTCAAAGGGTTTTATACAATTCAACCTAAACCGTACATTAGAATGTGGAGTACATGTATAAAATATGATTTTTGTACCGAAATATCCCAAGTTATATTATTATTATTATTAACACACTTAGTCAAGCCCATTGCATATGATTTTTCTAGTGTATGTGCTTTATCTCATGTTTGGAAATTTAATTACCAATACACACCTTCAAATATTGATTGCAGGTTTCGGCATTATGCAAAGAGAAGAACAAAATCACACTGCTTTAACATACACAATAATCATGCTTTTTTCAACAGTCAAAATATTGTACATTAGTATGATTAGAGAGGGCCCGCCAGCCGGAGATGGTGAGCCGGCACCGGAAACTGTACGTTCGGAAGAGTTGGTAGACATTCCGATGAGTTTTACGGGAAAGGGGGGCTAAATTTACGGTGGAGATTGATGAAAGATCGATATCCCGGCTGATACCAGATTAGAGAATAGCTTTCATTCGATAACTGAATTAAAGGAGAATACAAAGTATATCTCTACAAGGACTCTAACAAACCCTGACTAATAGAACAGGTGTAACAATCTAACATATCTACCACACAATATAAACTATATAATATACAAAGATAATAAGACAAAATAATATATATGCTAACAAGTATGTGAAGTATGATTGTTGTACATAAAAGTCACGAGTTTTATTCTTGTCAATACCCTTTAATTTAGTGAATTTAAACTATCCCACAACTAGAGTCTTCCTAGAATAGTTTACCTCTTCTGTGAAGATTTACCAATACATGCATAGGGCCTTTCAGTCAATTCAAGCTCATCGCATAAGGTTTTCCTAGAACAATTTAATTACTTCTCCTGCCTAGAAGATTTAGGAATACATATAGTGGTTGTGGGCTTCCTGCATCAAATCACCCAAAGAAATGAACAAAAATTACACTACTTTTACATACTCAATGATGTAGATTTCAACAGTCAAAATAATACGGAGGAATAATGGGAATAAAAGAAGATGGAATCCAAATAAGAGAGAGGGGATATGATGGAGATAAAAGGAGAAGTCCATGTCTGCAACTTTAACTTTGTTTTCTTGGTTAGGTTTAAATGGAAAAGGTAGAGATCAGAATGGTCGAGGAAGGTGACTTATGAACAAAGTATATGGAAAAGGGAGAAATGGGGCATGGCAAAGCGGTTCTTGTCATCTTAGATGTTAAAGCAAAAATGGGTGATGTTGGAATGACTACCTTTTCTAACCGAACTACAATTATAATAGCTGATGCTATGCATGCATTTGGTTATGAAAACGTCAACCTCACGAGTCATGATAGGTAAGTCCATCACAACATGATGATAACACCCCAACATAATTGTTCAAACACAAAAACTAGGATTAGCTGGCCGTGTTAACTTGTGTGTCGCCTAATTCGGATATATTATTAATTCAATCACTTTGATTACGCCTAAACGCAAACGCTTTGGATCATATCGGAGTATTAATTAGTAAAATGTGTCACCAGCAACTAACCTTATTATTATTAACTATGCTCTGATATATCTATCGCCTTTTGTCTTTGTCCCTCCCTCTATCTGCTCTTTATTTATCATTCCAACCTTAGGCGTGCATGAGTAGTAGTTAGCTGGTTTAATTTACAAGTGTTGGTACCAGGTGCTTCAAGGAAGTCTCTAATTAATTAAGCGTAATGATCATGTTTGGTAAAATAGTTAGCCAATTTTGACTTGTTTGACTTGGTTAAGTAACCAATATAACTGTTTGGTTAATTAGCTTTTCGTAACCATTTATGGCTCCAAAATGCTAAAATTCAAAAAAGTTGCTCAAAGTAATTTTTTCGATTAATTTTTGTGAAAGTCATTTTGCATATAATCAGCTATCAGCTAATTTGCCAAACATCTTTCTACAATTAGCTAATACTATCAACTAATCAAACTCACTAACCCAATCAGCAAACAACTATCAGCCAACAACTATTTACCAAACACAACCACAACAGATTACAATGGTATATATTTCTAGCACTCAAGTATACTAGCTATTCATCAATCTTAAAAAAAAATTTGCTCAATCACAAGTATATATATATATATATATATATATATATATATATATATATATATATATATATATATATATATATATATATATATATATATATATATATATATATATATATATATAGGAGATGGCAAGTAATTAGCACTAATGCCATTGATTTTCAATTTAACCCCCACTTTAATCGTCAATTCTTAAAATTAAACATATTACAATAAAAAGTATGGACGAATAAGTGGGTTAATGTCCATAAGATATGAAGAGTTTATATGTAAATTAAGTCATGATAAATGAAACAAGAAAGCCCGAACTCAGCTCACGTATATTTTGCCACATTTGATCTATTGTCTACTCAAAACAAATGGGACATTCGTTTATTATCCTCAAATAATTTTTATTTATTTTTTATGACGAGAGAACACCACAACCCGTACTTGATAGTGTGCATTATGTAAATCTCATCTCATGACTTTAGTAAGCAAATAACCATAATGAGGTAAACTATCTTACATGCATTGTCAATAATTAATCGTCTCAAACCAAAAAAGTCCTCAAATAAAAGACCATATTTAATTTTTATACTATTATAAGAAAAAGGTAAGATTTTACAAACTCTTTTTATCATAAGTGTACAGCAGCACTATATATAGATGGATTTATTTAGTCACGGACGGAGCAAATAAAACAGGGACACAATTCTAATTTCTAACCGACAGTTAGGTTTTTCTTGGCCACCAACAAAATTAATTTCATTTCTCAATCGTCCCCTGCCTCCCCGTGGCCACTTGACCCCAACTATGCCTAAGGAAGGATACATGAAACAAACATTTCGCACCTCAAGCCTATCCAATGTTATAAACCAATTACAAGCATTAAATTCAAATAAATGCATGGCATGCTCTTTTTTTCCCCTTTTCAACTAACTCACTATCAAGGATTAGATCTCCACGAGGTTAGGTGTACCCTACATGAATGAACATGGTGACTTTAATTTTTATCAAACAGAATCTGGTCAAATTATTTGAGCTTAAGTAACTCGTGAGCTAATTGTGGTTATAGAATTGAAGATGTTAATGTAGCTGTTGGTTTATGGAGTCGGCCCAACATGAACCCTCAATTTGTGCGTAGAAATTTTTGTGTGTGGGGGGGAGGGGGGGGGGGGGGGGGGATTGAGTTTCTATGAAAATGTCTTAAAATAAGAGTGATTTGAAGAAAACAAAATAGGTAGTGCTTTAATTTTACAAAATTAGAATGTTTCTTTTCTCCTTACTTTTTGGTGTATTTTATACCATACCAATTATTTAATATAAATTATTCTTAATCAATATTATCTAATGACTAAGATAATAGTAAACCAAGTAGTGGAAGTGTTATATTAAATATGGGCAATGTTTGTTGAGGTGAGACTTTTACCCAATGACAATTATCACTTATCAAGGATGCATGGCATTCGATCGAGGATCACTCGCATTGCTCTAAGATTTGTTCCAAAGGCTCTAACATGTTCACTTCGTTGGGAAAAAGGACATAACACTTGACACCCGATCACGCTAGGATACTAAAAAATAAATATACACCTTCCATTTAATCAATAATGGACAAGGAGGGGTTACCACAACCAAGATGATTAAGGATACAAACTTATAACCATAAGATTATGAGTTCGGATCTTAACGCTTTTAATTTGAAATGGTCAGCTATAAGCAACCTAGGCGGTTGCCACCTTGGTTGAGAATAGAAAAAGAAGACTATGCATTTTCCACTGCTTTGAGGATATGGGAAGAGGTTTAAACACTTGTTGTCATGTAAAAAAAAAAAAAAAAAAAAAAGATTAAACATCCATGGCACCCAAAAACACATAGTCTTTATCGATCTCTTCAAAAAGCTGTTATAATTAGTAAAGTTAGAAATCCTAGAATAGTAGCCATGAGCGTGAACAAGGAAAGTTGAGGAAACGTGGGATTGAGGAAGGAGTAGTGAAGTTTCGTAGTGGTTGATGGGAGTTTGATTTCAAAGTCAAAAAGTATGACCAGTACGTACCGCATATATATGCATGATTAGATTAGAATTTAGAGCAAATATAATGCCATCCTGCCCATCCATCTGCACGTGAAGGCCGGATTTTGAAAGGGGTATTTTGGGATTCTCCCATTGCCTTCCCCCGGCGTCAAGGAAACATCGTCCCCGCTATCAGGTTCCCGTGTATTCATGTAGGTGGAACAACTCAGAATGGACCAATTATTATTTGGTCAGAAAATTGTTTTTGTTTCGAGCACTGTTTTTTTTAATCTTATATATTTCCTTGAGTTTCCACTAATAAAAGTGGTATAAAATTAAACTATATTGCACGTGTAGGGAACAGCTGTGCTGAAATGGGAGTACGGACTATACGGAACGAGATCAGAGCTCGAACGTAGAGCTACAAGGTTTATGCCCCCAATAATCTCTACTCTAACGTTGTTCAAACTTCATACGACTCACGAGGTTTATCGCATTCACACCGTACAATTGTGTGGTTCTATGATTGTCTCTAAAGATTATAAAAAAAGAACAAATTGCACTTTTTGATTCTGTGACTATTAGGATGTTGATAATTTGAATACTCGACTTTTAAAATTTTCAATTTAGTCCTTTAACTATGTAATTATTGTTAGCAGATTTGGTCCTACCGTTCAAATTGCCGGCCAATTTTTAACAAAAAAATGTAATTTGGTTCGAATTGTTTTTTCATTAGGGTAAAATGGTCATTACAAGGAAAAAAAAGGGGGGGGGGGGGGGGGGGGGGGTGGTTTGTCCTGGATCCACTACTTGATCCACGTAGCACTTCTGCAACTACATACTCAACTTTTTGTGTAAATGGGAAGTATTATACAAGTCTCTTGCGACCACATAAACAAGAAAAATCTAAATCATTATCAGCAGCTAATTCATTCAGGTTGTTTCATAATAATTGCTGTTTTGCCGGCCAAACAATTGGGGATGGCCTTTTATTTGCATGAAAAACGTGTGTACCTTTTGTATTAACATATCATATTGCATGTACATGATGTAGCAAAACACTGATACTAGTGAGTGTACGTGTGTACAATGTCGTCTTCAAGTGATTGTGGGTTATGACACGTAATATATAAAAATAAGTAACTAGACATTAGCACTAGATCGAAAATCAACAAGAAGCTAAGCAATCTATATTGTGGTTAAATCAACGGTAACTAAACAAAATAACGCAAACACATATTATCGTACAAGATATAAACACAGAATAAAGAAATATTATCTATTTATTCTTCTAGATGCATAACACAACCTAAGAATTAGGAAAAAATTACACAACCAAGAAATTGAAGGATGCATGTAGGAATCATAGTCTATAATAAGCAATTCTTGTAATAAATAAATAAGAATTATAACAATGAATTGTTTCACTATCATGATATATCAATTACAAGTTCTTTAAGAACACAAAACATAGAGTATAATTTTCTTTATTTTCATATAAAGAAATTGAGTTTATATAATGAGTCACTCATGAAATTAAGTAAAATGTTGTACAAGAAAATGCGATAATATGAACCAAACCCACTATCGACATTAATAACATATTTTATTCTTTTACACAGCTCTGCAACAATATTCATTTTTCTAATTTAGGATTTTGTCGGTGATCACATGAAAAACATGTTTTAGGGTAAATAGGAGAATTATAGAATCTGGAATCATAGTGGTAGAAAAATGCAATCATAGTTACTTTACTGATGTTTTTCTTGTCCTTTAGCCATGTATTAATTTTGTATATATTAGTGGCCTTGATATACATAACTTTTATTTAATATATACAATTTCTATCCCTTCAAAAAAAAAAAAAAAAAAAAAAAAAAAAAACAACAACAACAACAACTAAAAGTTTTGGAATTAACTTAAATTATCAATAATTAATAAACAAAATTTCAAGGTGCTAATTGTATCGGGGATAATCAAAAGTGATTGCAAAAATGTTGAATTTGTACTAGTTGCAAGAGGGGGCAACATAGAATTTCCACCCAAAATAAAAATACAAAATTTCATCTAGTCCGTAAAGTTTGATTTTTTTGAACAATCATTATATCATGAGCCAATATTCATCATGTGCATTATGAATATCGGTCCATATTATTATTTACAGTTAACATATTATGTACCTTCATTTTATTTACTTACAGTTCACATATTATAACTTAAAACAACCTTAGAACGTGTACATAATCTGTTAACTGAAGTTAAATATATCATATATGTTAACTACAACTGCACGTACATAATCTAATCTGGATAAGATACACATTGCACATGATTTGCATGGTGGACCCTGGTCTACGAATCTACGATATAATGATTGTTTCTTAAATAGGAGGCGTCTTTTTTTTTTTTTTAATGATGAAAAAAATATGTAATCAGTACTTTAAGGTATCTATTGAATAAATCCTGCAGTCACTCCATGGGAACAGACGTTATGCCATGGAACCGTGTTCACCATTCATGGTGAACACGGTTCCAACGGTGTTAGTGCACCGTTATCTTTTTTTTTTTTTTTTTTTTTTTTTAAATTAATTACGTGACTGCCTACACATTCACTTTGGAACCATGCCTACACATTCACTTTGGAACCATGAGATTATGAATTTTCTGTTATGAGATTATGAATTTTCTGTTATGAGATTATGAATTTTCTGTTATGCGATTATGAATTTTCTGTTATGAGATTATGAATTTTCATGACATTCATAATTTCGGAGTTTCGGACATTCATAAATTATGAATTCATGCATGCACATTCACTTTGGAACCATGCCTACATATTCCCGTCCGAAATCACGGACATTCATAAATTATGAATCCATGCCTGCACATTCACTTTGGAACCATGCCTACACATTCACTTTGGAACCATGAGATTATGAATTTTCTGTTATAAGATTATGAATTTTCTGTTATGAGATTATGAATTTTCAGTTGTGAGATTATGAATTTTCTGTTATGCGATTATGAATTTTCTGTTATGAGATTATGAATTTTCATAAAATTCATAATCTCATAACAGAAAATTCATAATTTGATCAGTAGCGCGCCGTTAACTCCACATCCGCGATTTTTTTTTCTTTTTTTTTTGCCTAAAAACGACGTCGTTTTGACTTGTGTTCACCATTCTCGGTGAACACGATTCCACGGTATAATTTGCGCCATGGGAAATAGTGGGCCTCTTCTTGATATTTTCGGTTGTTAATGGGCTCTGTAAAATTTATCCAGGATGTAATTGGGCTTCTAAAACTTGAACAATTTTTGAATAGATTGCAGAAAAAATGCACAGGAGAAAATGGCCCATAGGCCCATTATCCGACCCCTTCTAACAGGCTTCCTGGCTCCAGCCTTTTCTAGACGGACTTAGGAAATGGAGGCAAATTATACCATGCACTAGGTACTCAAAACGACGTCATTTTAAACTTTTTCAAATGTTTGCTGTTAACTTCTTAAAAATAAAATTCATGTTCAAATGTACATAATTGTATAATAGAATACACAGAATTTTATATCTGAAAATACAGAATTATATAATAGAATGCACAGAATTTTATATCTGAAAACACAGAATTTTATAACTAAAAATTTCCATGTTTCGAATGAACAAACTACACAAAATTTTATACCTAAAAATATAAAACTTACCAAAACAACATCGTTTTGAGAGGCGCGACGCACTTGCTATGTGTGCCCCGGTGTATGGTATAACGATTGGGAAATAGGTTATTGGGGTGGGCACAAAATACTTGGAACAATACAACCCGACCCGCATAGTCCACCCCTCTCTCATATTTCCCTTTGCGAGTTCGCTCTACTCTCAGATCCTTTTCTTATTTTATCGGCTCCGAGAAAAGCTCTCGACAACGCAAATCTACAGCCATAACTGCGGCTTTTGCTAATCTCCTGCATCGAAGGAAAGGAAAGAAGTTGCAATTATTAAGGTTTTACATCTGTGAGCTTCAAAATTCAGGGCCTTATTTCTGTGTAAGGTAACCTTTGCATTTTTTTTATTTTTTTAAAATAAAAAATCTTAAACAATTTATTATCCTTTTTGGCTGCTGAAAGAGGTTTCCAGGATAGATATAAGATTGAAAACATGGAAATTTTCACTTCAATTGTATGTAATTTAAATAGGCTCAGCAGAATCATCTTTAAAATTAGCAAGGATTGCTGTTTCAAAAGTGTTCCGTTCGCTTCATCCAATGCTGCTATTAAGTCTAGCAATGAATGCTTATTTTGTCTTTTGATTTTCGCGGTTCTGATATCTGCATTGTTCTTGAAAATTTGAGTAGGAAACGCTATTCTCGAGTTACACTGTATTGTTTGCTCTCATGTTTATGTTAGTTTGATATTGGGCATAACATATGCAAAAGTCATCCTTGGGGTACACGGTTTAGTTTCTTTTTTCCAGTGTAGTCTATTAACCATGGTGTGTAGGTTACGGTGGAGCAAGACTCACCTTTAGTAATGTGTACTAGTTGTACACAATGTGCATGTCAAAATAATATGAATTTCTTTTTGTCTGAATTTGATAACAATTGCAGGTCCATGGTTCCTCCAGCTTCATCTAGATTATACTTATGCATGGGTGATTAACATACAGTTTAGGAGACAAGCTTTTGCTTGGTCAGCATATGTGATTGTTATTAAGGTTTTCTCTTAAGATGTCCAAAGATGTCAGTAGAGGTTCCTCTAGCTTTCAGGGAAACAGTTGATTGGGGATATGCTTCAGTCCGAAACAGCCTGCATTAGAGAAACGAAGTCTAACCAGTGCAGTAACTGGAATAATATATGATATCACTATACTATTTGCAGTGGCTTAGGGGAATCTTCCATCCAGTGTTCTGATATTGGACTTGGTGAAAGGGCTGAAACTGTCAAATAGTGGTTTGGTTAATCTGATAGTGGAACTGTGGAAGTGGTGAAGAATTGATTAACTCAGATAATATGGCCACAAACTCAAACTGTGGATCCCTTGGACCAAATTCTACTGAATATGATCATCAAAATGCAAAAGCCAAGCTGGTGGAGCGGATAGAATTGCCACTTGAACCTGATTCTATGGATTCCACTCAACAGCACAAGAAACCAGAGCTAGAAAATTGTGATGTAAATTCTGATGTTGGGGAGATGACATTGCCACCTGGATTTGAGACAAGAAATTCAACAGTTGGATATTCTTCTCAGCTACACAACAAGGTCACAGGAAATCTTTGCCCTCAGCAGTTAAAAGAACCTCACACAGATGCAATTGGAAGTCCTAGCGGAACATTGATGCGGATAAATGAAAATAATGAGAAACAAGCTGAAATGCCTTCTAAACACAAGTTTTTGAGACCACCCCAGGAAGATTTGACATTGAATCTCAGATCTAAGAATGTTGAATTGCCACCTGAAAATGAGGGAGCATATTCTGTAGCTGACCCAGCAGAACCACCTGGTTTCGAATCTCATAATCGTGGTCACAGATTAAAAGGAACATGTAAAGATGCAAATAAAAGTCCTGCACAGCTAGAACATGAAGAAAAAGGACCCCCTGAGAGTATATCTACTTTCAGAACAGATGTAAACACTACCAGAGTTCTGCGTCCCAAAACACATAAACAATCTGAATCTCCTATACCAAATGATGCTGCTGCAGGTGATAGTGATGACAGTAAAAATAATAGAACAAGGAGAAAGGAAAAGCAGAAGAAACAAAATGCTGTTAATGAATTCTCAAGTATAAGGACCAAGCTGAGATATTTACTACACCGAATAAAATATGAGCAAAATTTAATTGATGCTTACTCTGGTGAAGGATGGAAAGGAAAAAGGTTTGTGCTGCACCCTTTCTCTCCACATGCTCAGGTGGAAGGTTGCTGCTGCAGTCTTTAATATCATAGGTTGATGTTCTTGCTGAGAGTGCCGGTTCTAATTCTCCCATTTCTCTATAATTATTATTACTAAATTACTAAATGCATATAAGCAAGCATTAAGAATTGATGATTTCAAAAAATTCAATGGAGGGGAGTTAAAGATAATTCTTAGCTTTATTAATTTATCTCTGATGATGGTCCACCACTACTGCCTTAGCTTATAGGTATAGCTTCATTGACTGGCTCACTCACATAGTCATATCTACTAAGATGCTCTTGGCAGAGTGGAAAATAAGAAAAAGAGCTAGTCTAGGTTTCTATCCTGTTTAACATTTTCAATTTATAGATACTTGCAGGGAGCCAGGGACAGACCTAGTGGGTGGCATGACCTCCCTAAAGTTTATTGTTATTATCTTTACCTTCATATTCATCCCTCTTTTTTTGTTTGAAATGGGCTCCTCAGTTTACCAGCTTAGATGTCTGGTCCTCCGATAATTATTTATTGATACTTTCACCAACTATGCCCCCTCCCAAGGGAAAGGTTCGATCTCCACTTTTTGTTGTCAATCATTTCACATCAGCCTAATGTTCTTTTATACATTTGCAGCATAGAAAAAATCAAGCCTGAGAAGGAGCTGCAACGTGCAAAATCTGGGATTTTCACTTACAAATTGAAAATCAGAGACTTATTTCAACGCATTGATATGATACTTGCTCATGGAAGGCTTCCAGAATCTTCATTTGACTCCAAAGGACTGATTGACAGCGAAGATGTAGGAGAATTTTGTTGATACATGCACATTAACATTATGTTGTAGTTGAATCTTGTTTTCATCTATCACCATCATACTGCACCTTGATATGTTGAGATAATATGTTCTTTATTAGCAGATATTCTGTGCGAAGTGTGGTTCTAAGGATTTGCCAGCTGATAATGATATTATCCTTTGTGATGGTGCTTGTGAACGTGGATTTCACCAATTCTGTTTGGAGCCACCTTTGTTGAAAGAAGATAGTAAAGTCCCAAAGTGTTAAAAAGTGTCTTTAGTCTTGAATATCTTTATGTATTTATATGCATATATATGATTTACCTTTCCTTGTTGTACATACAGTCCCACCAGGTGATGAAGCCTGGCTATGCCCTGGATGTGTTTGCAAATTAGATTGCTTTGTGTTACTTAATGATCTTCTGGGAACAAATCTTTCTCTTACAGACCGTTGGGAGGTCAGGCTTTCATCCTCTTTAGATAACGCCTGGCTTTGTTTTTTTATTGCCAACTGCTCACCGAGCAGTTTTGGTGTGTGCAGAAGGTGTTCCCAGAGGAGGCTGCGAGTGTCGTATCAGGAAAGAAGTTGGATGATGTTCCTGGATTACCGTCAGATGATTCTGAGGATGATGACTACAACCCTGATCATCTGGAAGTAGAGGAAAATGGTTCAGGAGACGAATCAACCTCTGAAGAATCTGATTATTTTTCTGCATCTGATGATTTGGCAGCACCTGTCAATAATGATCAACTCATGGGACTTCCTTCAGATGACTCAGAAGATGATGATTATGATCCGGATGCTCCAGACCATGATGTGCAGGTGATGCAAGAAAGTTCCGGTTCCGATTTTACCTCAGATTCGGAGGATTTGGGTCCAGAAGTTACTGATACTAGGACCCCTAGCCAAGACCAATGTGGAGAAACTAAAATAGGTGGAGTAGCGCAACACTCATTGAAGGATGAATTATCATACCAACAGCCCAGTGATGATCTTGTATCTCAGAAAAGATATGGGGAGGGACTGGACTACAAAAAGTCGAATGATGTGAGTTTCTCTTTCCTACAAGTGTAATTTTTTATTATAAATTGTGAATCTATGATTGATAACCCCTCTCCAGAAAATTTTGAACCATCTTCCTTTTACTTTGCTGTTTCATATGTTTTATCTTCTGAATTTACTATTTATCATTAGAACATATGGTATTGGTAAATTAAGAATTCTTTTTTGGTTTTATTATTGCCTCTTTATTGCTTTTCCAGAGGCTCCTGTCCTTTCCTCTGATTCCTTGTTCATTTTTCACTGTGTTTTGCTTTCTTAATTTTTGCAATGTCAGATTTTCCTTCCTAAACTGAAATCTATGGTAGTGGTTCTTAATTTACTTTGTAATCCATTGACATATGAAGGAAACACATCAAAGTACGTCTTCTGATTATTGCGATGAAGAATATGGGTGTACTGCTCCAAAAAGAAAGAATGGAAGTCGCAAAGCTGCTCAGAAGTCATCTGATCAGGCTGCAATGGGTGCAATGAATACAAATTTCAACCAGAGTGAAACTGAACATACCACTGAGAGAAGAAGCCGAAAAAGGCTCAAGGTTGAAGATTCGGTGACGCCTGAACAAGGTTCAAGTAGTAAAAGAAATACTAAATCAAGATATGGAGAAGATGTGATCAAGGTAATTCAAGGGTTTGGCTTATGCCTTCAAATTCTGAAATGAAATATGTTCTGACACAATCTCTTACACACACATACACATGTTGAGAGAAGTTTTAATTTGCCTTAGTCTCAATACTTATTGTGATGGTGGTGCATTTTGTAGAGACTCTTTGAATCCTTCAAGGAAAATCAATACCCAAATCGTGAAGTCAAGGAAAGTTTAGCTGCAGAATTAGGACTGACAGCCCAGCAGGTTGAATGAGACCTACTCCATTTTATTCTTTCTCTATTCTGTTCTGTTATGACCTCTTGAATATAAATTGTGCAGGTTAGTAAATGGTTTGAAAATGCTCGGCGGAGCTTTCACCACTCATCATCCAATCAACCGAAGAATCAATCTTAACTGAAATATTAGAAAAATGATGCAATTCCTCACCCAAAATGAAGACCCACAGAAAATTGAGTTCTTGAGGTAAAAGTGCCAAACTCTTCATGCCGTGGGGCTGCAACACTGAACCACCTTCAGCAAGTCCCGATAAAGAGGAATGCCAAAGCGTGATAATCAGATATGGGTTCAAGGATCCAGAAGTAACAGAAGCAGAAGAAGATGCAAGTTGATAGCCTTTGCTGCCTAGCTCTCTCATCAAGCATTAACCAGCGCACCAGATTAGTGAAAAAAGGCAGCACAATCTCATGTGCAGTGCAGAACTGTGTGAAGAGCAATTATGAAAAGCGTCAACGACTTGAAAATGAGCAGTGGAAGATTCCCTCGAGTTACAACTTACAAGGACAGGCATTAGCATTTTCTGTGCATATCCAATCAACACTGATATGTATCTACTTGATGCAACATCTTCTTCCCCAGGAGAGGGGATAGACTGATACTGTAGTGTAGAACTTCAGCTATGAATCATACCAACTTATTAACTGTGGTGTCTAGTTTCCACTCCCAGCAGGTGTATAAATTGCTTATTGTAACAGCACGTTTCTCGTTTAAATTTAGAGTATGATGTTTTTTTTTTTTTTCTTGCACGGGCGTTTAGTTGATTTCTGGGTGATAGATTGTGGGTAAGGACACATGATGAAGCCTCGGTGAAATAAACATGTCTGTGAAGATGTGGACAGACTACCTGCACCTAGACAGAAAGACCCTATGAAACTTCACCGTTCCTTGGGATTGGCTTAGGATCTTTCCTGCATAGCTTAGGTGGAAGGCAAAGAAGGGCTCCATTTGGGAGGTCTCGAGTCATTGGTGAGATTCTACTTTAGAAGAGTTAAAATTCTAATCTTGTGCTAGGACCTACAGGCTAAAAGATAGTTTTAGATGAACAATTTTTATGGGGCGTAGGCCTCCCAGAAGGCAACAGAGGTGTGCAAAGATTTCCTCGTGCCTGACAAAGATTAGTTCTTGAGTGCAAAGACAGAATGGAATTTGATTGCAAGACCCACTTATCGAGTAGGGAAAAAGTTTGCCTTAGTGATTTTCCCTTAGAGATAACAGACTGATCTTCTCCAGAAGCTCACATCGACACGAAGATTTGGCACCTTGACGTCGGCTCTGTGAGCATATATAGCCATTAACGTGCAATCCAACTATTAGCTTAGGCTTTTAGTTAAGATGGAGCACATGCTTCAATTTGGTATCAGAGCCATCCAACTATCAGCTTAGGCTTTTAGTTGAGATGGAGCACATGCTTCAATTGGCTCTTCATCGTTGAGTCATTATAATTTTCTTCTTCTTCATCGTTGAGTCATTATAATTTTCTTCTTCACTATTATGTCGGGCTGTCGGGCTGAAGTGAGGAAGTCACGAGGGGAGGAAATTTTTTCTTTTGCGGGCAAGAGAGTGAAGTTATTTTTTATGTGATGAAATGAAACTAGGATTCCCGTCTCATGTTTTAGTTTCTGAATACGAAAATCGTATATTTGGGCTGCAGTAAAGCCCAAATTCAGTGCAAGCCCAGTCCAATAAAAGTCCCAAGGCCCGCCACTAAACTCAGGAAACAGAGTAATTTTTTAAAACCAGAAAAAAGGCGGCTTATCTTCCCGCCTCTACTTTGATTCGATTCATGATTTCATTCTCTCTCCATTATTTCCCTCAAGTATTCTAAAATCCTTCTTATTAATTCTTATCTGTAAAACCCTAGTTCATTCGTGATGCCGGGAGGAGAGAATCGGATCACCATGAAGGGATCGAAGAGGAGTACTGCATTTGGTTCCGTAGAAAACGAATCGGCGCATGTGCTAGGGCTTCCGGCCACGAAGAAGCGGGCCGTATTTGGCGATCTCACCAACACATGCTCCACTCAGAACACGAGTGTGAGACAAACACAGAAGCCTAAGGCTAAGCAAAAGCCTGGTTTGAAGGACGGTGACGGTGATGAATCTGTGGAACCTGGATTTTACGAAGATAATTTCACACCTGAGAACTCCTCTCAGAGGTCTGCCTATGCTCCGCTCATCTATCAGCATCTGCATTCGATGGAGGTATTTCGTGGAGTTTGTTGCATTCGTTTGTGATTGATAATTGATTTTTGCTGGAGGAATGATCAGTTTTGTTGTTGTTGTTGTTGATGATGATGATCTTTTATATTGATTTGTGCCTTTGTGGTATAGGCTGAGGCGAAGAGAAGGCCTCTGGCAAATTATATGGAGAAGGTTCAGAATGATTTAACCCCCAATATGCGATTTGTTTTAGTTGATTGGTTGGTGGAGGTTGCTGAGGAGTACAGACTTGTCGCAGATACTCTTTATCTCGCCGTCTCCCACATTGACAGATTCCTTTCTTTCCATACTCTGAACAGGAAAAAGCTTCAGCTTCTTGGTGTCTCTAGCATGCTTGTTGCCTCGTAAGCTCACAAAACTCTCTCGTTTGATCGGTAGGCTTTGTTTTCCTTTAAGTGTAATTCAACAATTATTTAATTAATGTTGCAGAAAATATGAAGAGATCCATCCCCCACATGTTGAGGACTTTGTATATATCACTGACAATACATTCACTAAAGAGGAGGTTGGATTTTATCTCTTTCGTGTTGATTTCATTGACTTGTGTGTATGATTATGAATTGGATACAGATTTTTTTTGCTTTCATGTTAGGTTGTTCTCATGGAGGGAGAACTGCTGAAGTTTTTAGACTTTGAAATTGGCAACCCCACAACAAAAACTTTTCTTAGGTATCTGTTATCTCTTGTAAATATAACTGAATTCTCACTTAGCCCTTAAACTCAATCAATCACCCTTGTTTATGCATTTCAATTTCCAGAAAAATCTTCTAATTTTCTTTTAGCTACTGCTTTTAGTTTGGCCTGTTTGGCTAATAGGAATGTTTTGGGTAATGTACAGGATCTTTACCAAGCCTGCCCAAGATAACTCAAAGGTCACCTGAAATTTTTTTATGCAATTTATTATTTCTCTTTACTCATATTTCAATGCTGATTATAAGCTTTACCTCTTCTTCAGTTTTCGACACTGGAATTTGAATTCTTGTGTAGTTATCTTGCGGAGCTAAGCTTATTAGATTATTACTGTGCCCGGTTCTTGCCATCACTGATTGCTGCTGCTGCAATCTTTCTCGCAAGGCTTATAATCCTTCCAACACTTCATCCATGGGTAAAACTTCAGCCTTAAGTTGTCGTTAATAGGTTTATGTATTGATTGGATTCAATGCTTTTAGCTAATCATATAATTGGCTTGCTGCTTACTTGATTCATCAGTTAGTTTGGACTTTCAATGTAATATTCATAAAAGATTCCAGTTTTTGATGCCCATCATGTATCTATTTCTTTTGTGTTTTCTAGAGCATTGCACTGCAACAATATACAGGCTACAGACCATATGATCTGAAGGATTGTGTGCTTGCTATACATGAAATGCTATTTAGTAAAAGCGAGGCATCTATGGTGGGAGACAAATACCAAGATCACAAGGTACGATTGGTTTGCTTTAGAAATGTAATGTTATGCTTTGTGCTCTTTAGTATCCAGTAAATGCATATGGTATATGTATGCATTTGACACTTTTTTATTCCGTTTGCAAATTTAATTTTACGTCAAATATATATATTTGAAATGTGATTGATAGTTAAAATAAGAGTGTTTACTTTTTTAGTATCGAACACATTTGAAAAATACTTTTGACCCTACATTTTTTTTACATCCCCTCCCCTCTAAGTATGTTTGAGGTTAGACATTAAAAAATTTGAATTCAAGCTCAAACACATCCGAAATGCCTGAGTTACATAACCTAAAAGGCATTTCCCATTCAACATAAAATTGTTCTATAGTTAAACATTACGGCAACTTGGGTGTTTAATTTATATTATTATTTGTGTTTAGAGCAAAAATAATTTTTTTTTGCAGATGTTAGGAAAAAAACCACATGTTACTAGGTCCGTATATACCTAATTGTGAAAAAAAATTAATTAATTATTAATAGAATGTGCATTTTAAAATTGTATCAAAAAGAGTGTAAGGTCGAGAACGAATAAAGATTTTATTTTATAATTTTAACGGTCAAATGCATTTTAGATATGCTTTTTATGTAAATTAAAATTTTTGGCAATTTTTTAAAAAAGGTTTAAACACATGCCATATGCTATTTTTGTTCAAGTTTCAAAATCCTCTTATTTTTATCTAGAACGCATGAAATCTTCCTATTTTTGTCAAAAACTTGGAGTTTTATAAGTTTGCAATTTGGGAGAAGTCTTCCAACTAGCTAATATCTATGGTTTATTTCCTTTCAATATATTGCCAGGAGTGCTTCCAATGAAGCCCAACTAACTACATCACCCACACACTGACAACATTTTTTCTCTTGTAAACAGTACAAGCAGGTTGCTAAAATGTCTCCACCCTCGGAAATTGCTGCACATTACTTTCAGGATGTTTGAAGTAGGAATAAACAAGGCTCTGGTGCTGTCATGCTGTGTTATTGAGGACCTAGAATGCATGGTTTTAAATGTTAGTCTCATTTTGGGTGGGTTTACATGTAAATTTGTGACCATATGGGAGCTAATTTCATTGAAATAGGAATAAGAGTGATTCATTGAACATTTTACTTTTTAGAAATTTGAAAGTAGGATATATATAGAGGTTTTAACCATTCTCATATTTTCCTTACCTTCATGAAGCCCTCTATGAAGATAAGCAATTGGGCAGAGCATTGCTCTTCAGGCATTTTAACTCCTTGTTGAATGTGTAAACTCTTCCTGACGTTATGGTTGCTGTCATAGTAATCATTTGATAATGTAATCTCATTATAGTCTTGTGATCCTTCGACCAAAGGCCAACTTCGTGAAGTTCCCCTTCTTTCCAGCATATGCTGACTGTCAAATCACTACGCGCCTTCAACCCCTTAACACAACCATTTGGCCATTTATCTCGAGGAAGAGTGGGAAGCAAGTATAAATCTGTCATGCTGCTCTGAACCAGCATTTCTGATACTGCTGCCTTGAAGCTGGTGCAAAAGAAATGCAGATTAGCACCTTCACCGAGCCTCTACTTTGGTGCAAAAACTTTAACAAGATGGCATTGAGCATTCATATTAGTCAACTTTTAAGGTGTGAATAGAAAGAAGTGCTCACCCAAAGTTGGCATCAATCTGGAATGGTGGGTGTGCGGCAAACAGGTTATTGTAAAGTCCCCCTTCAAACTTGGCCTCATTTTCAGGATCCACCAGATGAAATAGATGCTTAACCATGTGGTAGGCTTGTTCACTATCAAGAAGGTGTGCCCATAGAGCAATTTTCCATGCAGTAGACCATCCTGGCCCACCCTCTCCTGTTTGAGAAAAGGACATTCGAATGAACATTTTGTTAATCTTTTAGACTGAGAATTGTAAATTCATGGATACAAGTGTGAAAGCCCATGCAAAATTTCTTGTACTTGATGACCTGTAGTCATGCATAACGTTGAAACATGGGATAATATTCATTCATTACATGAGCTTCCTACTCTAATTTTCACAAACCTCTTTTATATAAGCTATTTTCTGCAGCTTTACAGAGGTCAGGAGTTTTCTCAGGTGTAATTGTGTGCCCTGGAAAGAGGCCAAAAAGGTGAGACAGGTGCCGATGATGCACGTCTGGATCCTTGAAATCTTTTGCCTGCCATGACAGAAATTACTAAATGCTGATAGTCATCTTTTATTGCTAGAGTAACTGTGAAACAATTAAAAATCTTATTGGTTTAAGAGACTGTAAGTTCAAAGGTTTTGGACACACCCATTCCATTACAGAACCATCCCTAGCAATTTTGGTTGGATAAAGACGTGATTGAGCTTTCTGAACTCTCACAATCAGCTCATCCTCACTTTTGTTCAAAACCTGTTCACATTATAATTTTCTCCTCTCAAACTCAGATTCACACAGCTAAAAAAGGAATAAAAACGTAACAGAAAGATTGCATAAAACTATAAATTTAAAAAAATAAAGAACATACCTTGGCAGCAGAAACTATGGCAGAGAAAACTTCTCTAATGATTGACATGTCCATGGTTGTTGAGTAACTCAAACTGGCAATTTCACCATCTGGGGCAAGAAAATAATGCTCAGGAGAGCTGGATGGGTTGGTTTCAAGATATCCTTCTCTTCCTTCAATCAACCAGTCCAACAGAAATAAAGTACAGCCTTCCAACAAGGGATATATTTTCTTTTCTAGAAAATCCTGTAAGTGCAGAAAATACTGACAATCAAACAATGGTTTTTAGAGAATCCTCATGTTCAGGGACATTTATTAACATGACAGAACAATTTGCCTCTAGGAAAAGTCAAAGACTTCTATGAATCCATTATGATCACACCTGTGGAATGTTATGTATTTAATTACTGAGGACTTTCACAGGAAACATGTTTAAAATGTTTAGAAGAAAAGAGAAATAAATGAACAAAGAATGTCTATCAGAAACAAATATTCTGACTTGGCCATATTTAAAAGAAAGACCCTTACTCTGTCCATTGTATAAGTATAATGCTCCCATAAATGGGTACAGATCCAGGCTCCACCCATCTGCCATATAGAGTACTCAACGTCTCGTCTGTCATCGTATCCCCTATACGGGGATGTTTTTGCCCATATATCAGATATGTGATGCACAACCCAGCCTCTAGCTTCATAGTTCACCTGTAATATTTTGTGAGTAAATACATTAATGTTTGCACATAGCATTATCATATTTCATTCTACTTGAAATAACTTGTCGGAAAATGGCCAGAATGATATAAGAGTTGAAAGAGATCCAGCACTAGTTACAATATCACGACGAGATTACATCATAATACTGATATCTGATATGGAAGTGCAAATTTCACATGTTAAAAGAAAGTGCCTTCACTCATATAAAGACAGCTCTATCCCTCTTACATGATTTCTCAACTTTCTTATTGACAGCTTACTCTCTTTCATTGTTTTATAATCTTTTATATATTTGTTCTGTTGACTGAGAATTTTAAAATATATATTCCTGATCCCCCATAAGTATACAATACGTTACTGCTATACAGCTTCCAAATTTGATGCTACTAAATGTATCCAAAACTTCAATGTGCAATGTTAATACATACTATGAAAGTGAAATTAATTCTTACTTTTGCAGTTTTCCTTCCATTAGTTGAAAGAAAGGATATATAGTCATATAGAGGTTCTTGGCACTCTTTAAGATTGCAAGGGAGAGCAGGCCAGTAGTTCATCTGGAGATTGATATTCAAGTGAGGGGCAGCACTGACAAGGACAAATGAATAAAACAAGATGAATAGAGATGCAGAAATAAATAAATAAATCAATCAATCAATCAATCAATCAAAGAACAGAAAAAAAATTGAAAGCAGAAGAAGAAAACTAACTACAGTTATTAAAAGATGAAAATATGGAAGAAATGTGTTGAGACATACTCCCAAGCTGGCACCATATCCTTGTTCCATATCCCCTGCAAGTTTGCTGCCTGAGTTCCAGGGCGTGAGCAAGCAATAAGTAGATAACGACCATACTGGAATAAAAGCTCAACCAAACTAGGATCTTCATCAATTATGAAGGATTTTACTCTCTCAGAAGTTGGAATTGCCCCATCCTCACTTCCTTTTAAATCTATATAAGTTTTGTTGAATTCTCCACTAGCAATACTTTTGGAAAGGTTCAGCGAGACACGCTGGAACAATTTTTGATAGTCATCCACATGGCGTGAATAAATTTCTGAATATGAAAATCTTTTACTAGAAATCAATGTTTTTTGGGACTCTGAAATGGGATCCCTTTTTGATTCTGATGGCTTGGTGAATGGTCCATCAAATGAGGATGAGGCGGTCAAAAGTATGATGGCCCAGTCACAACCCTTGACCTGAAGCCTCTGCTCATCCAAAACATTTAGAGCCCCTGACCCATTACTGATCTGTATATCAAGAACTGCTGAAAATTGAATACCTTGAGGACTCTCAGTCGCATTTTTTTGGGGAGGTATCCGTGTACCAAGGCAACTTCCTTCCATTATTATCTGATTTTTACCATTTGTATATGAGTGATGATGCATTTGACTGTCCAAGGACACTGTGAAATTAAGAGAGCCTGGTTTATTTCCAGATATCTTTATTGCTATCACTTGATCTGGATTTGAGGAAAAATATTCCCTTGTAAATTCTATGTCATTCGTCGAATATTTTACTTTCACAGTTGCAGTTTCCAAGTCCAGCACTCTCTGATATGTTTCTTCATTATAATTTGCATGAGAAGCGTCAAATTCCAGCTTTATATCTCCAACGAGCTGGTAAACCTTTACCATCACAAGAAAATCATAAGAATGCTTATGATAAGGATCAACCGATCAACCATAAAAAGTCTCAGTAAAGTCAATGGTGCCAACATAATTGAAGAAAATGAAAATGTGATGTGAAAAACCCACATAGCAAAGTAAGCAGATATAAATATACTCTGAACATGATAATACTTTCAAGTATCTAGAATCCCTTCAATGTGAAGTCATCTTTAAACACTAGGTATTTGTCCCATTTATCAGCTCATAAACCTAACTTATTCATTCGAAATTGCTCCTCAAGATTTCCTTCCACCTAGGATCTGGATTAGATCATTGTTCTTTGACTTCTTTCTAATTAAAAAGGATTGCAGCTTGCCATACTTAGGAAAGGTCTACATTCTGTGTTATCACTTGCGGTTATCTCTCTTCAATGTTTCATACTGAAAGAAACAAATCCAAAGTCATCAAACATTCAAACTGCATACCTCATTTGGTTTACCTACTAATTTCCGTCCAGCTTCAGTAGCCTGTGCATATTGGCCATCATCAACAAGTTTTCTAACCTCAGCCAGTGCTTTTGGAGCATCTGGATCAGTATAATCCCCAGGAATTCCAGTCCACAAAGTGTCCTCTGTACAAAGCAGACAAAACCTAATTAGATTACATGTTATCTTCCCCTTCCTAAAACTTGCTGCTACGATTTTGTTCCTCATTGATCACAAAAGGCATCAGAGCTTACTACGCAATAGAAAAAGACGAGAAACGAAGCGCAAATAAACTCTCGGCAAAATATGATTACCGTTGAGATTGAGAGTCTCAGATGCAACACCGCCCCAGACCATGGCGCCGAGACGACCGTTTCCAATAGGCAGAGCATCGGTCCAAAGCTTTGCCGGCTCGTTGAACCTAATCTCGAGAGGTTTCGAACTCTCCGTTGTACTTCCCGAGCTCGGACTCCACATATCTGCGTCTGTAAGCTCCTTCACCAGAATCCAATCGAAATCCTCCATTGAATTGCAGAGAAATTCCTCAACTGACGTGAAACGGAAGAAAACTTCGCTCTCTCTTACATAGCGGGTAGCTGCAACTCTTCCGTTTCAAAATATCGCATTCTCTAAAGTTGTTCAATCAGTGAGCATACTACAACAGGTTAACGATGCAAAAGTCCGAGGATAAGAATAAAGACAGGTTTAATAGAGACGCCGTTACTGAGAAAAGTAGGTAGCTGAAAACGACGAAAAGCACCGCCGGCACTTGGCCGAGTAGAGAGTAGAGACATAAAATCGGGGGCCCATGCCCCATGGTTTCGGCATTTCCGCCGGCGCCAAATGCTTCTCGTGCTTGTACCTGTTTCTGTTTCGGTATCTTCTCCATGGCAACTGGGTTGGACCACCTCCATAATTAGAGTTTCTAAAGCAGTAAAGCACTCGAGGTAGTTATATGTCACTCTGTCAGTAGAAACAATTGTGCGGGTAACCCAAAAAAACTTTACAAGTATCAAGTTTTTACCCCAAATTTAAAATTGGGAATAAGGTCCAAAGTGGAGGTGATATAACTAAGAGACGATAAATATTTTTTTATATACATAATTTTGAGATGAGAAATAACATTTATTCGATTCTTTTGTATATAAAAAAAAAAAATCATGACGTATCATGTAAATTTAGATTAAATAATTTTTATTTATGAAAAGGAAGAGATGCACACCATCATAGGGTTTTAAAACCTTACAAAATGAGATGTTTTAAATTTTAAAACGTTGTCACTTAATATATGCATGTATACATTAACTTTTGTATAGATTGCAGCTTAATGGAACATCTGTGACTCTTTCTAAATGGAGGTCACAGACATATACTACATTGTAAAAGAGTCAGTAGTACTAAAAAAAAAACATTTTATATAGATATGTTTTTAAATACATAGTGTGTATACGAGCTACTTGTGAAGGGTGTTTTAGTCACATATTATGTCCATACACAAACAAATATATTACATATATGAAACCTCATACAATCTCTCTTTTATCTTCAAATACTGCTTATTCAACCAACGAGCTAATCTCTCATTATATACATGTTCATATGTATGCGTATGGTACATAAGCTATACATGAACTACTACAAATGTTGACATAATGATTAAGTGGGAATCAATGGCAAATCTACCTCATCACACCACTCCACACACCTTGTCTCATAGTATGAAGTGTTGACATGATTGGGCCAATAAGTTAGCCATACTTCACCTCCAATCCTCCACTTCAACACACTCCCTACCATTTCCTTGCTCAATCTCCACCCTACACCTGTCCCACTCTCCTCCCCTGCAATTACCAAACTACCCTTCTTTGTAAACCCCCTGTTTGCTCCCCTATATCTTCTCCCAAGATTATTCATCACCACCGCGGTGGGACCATCATCGCCGTTGTCTGGCTTCCACGTGGCGACTTCAATGCCCGTTTGATTGTCGCACAACGTGGCATCATATACGACCGCGTTTCCCTCCGTGTCCTGATCCCATCTCCAATTTTTCATTTTTGTCTTCGTAGCCATTCTCGCCACCGCCTTCATCTTCGGAACCTTTGAATCTCCGAAACTGCCCTTCCAAATCTTGTGTGTTTCCACTTCTTTTTCTATGTTATTCGTGGACTGGCCCAAACTTAGCCCACCAACGTAACTGGCGCCCACTTCTGGCCCGACCCACACTCGAATCCTCGAAGGGAAATGCTTCTCGTCCACGTAAGCATCGTCTTGGCTCTTGTTGAACCCTAATCTTGCCACGTGGAGGCGTATGTTATCAAGACGCGCGTTGACTTGGATAAAACCGTCAAAGTATCCGACCGTATATTCGAATTGTATCACAGCCTCAAGTTGATGGTGAGCCAAGGCGTATCTCAGAGCCGACTCTTTGGCTTCGATCACCGGAAACGGATTCCTCTCACCGCGGTGGAGCGTGCACTTCATTGCCCTGACCGGAGCGTAGCCTTTCAGTATCCACAAGCCGTACGCCTCCGTACTGTACGAGATTCCGAGGTACTGAGGCGTTAACGACTGTAAACCTACGCCGCCAACCTCCCTTAATATCAGCCATTTTGCTAACATGTACCCGAAGGTGCGCATGAAACACAGCTCCACGTCGGTTCCGACCGTGACGAAGAAAGTCCGCAGGACGACAGGCGCGGGCTTAGACGAAAACATTTCGAGATTCGGAGCCAGTATGGAGTGGAAGTAGAGAGCGCCGGCTTCCGACGGCGCGTCGCACGCACAGAGCCAGAAAAGACGGGATAGCAAGACGAGGTTGAAGAAGCTCGAGAAAGTCTCCGGCGAGTGCGAGTCGAGCATCCAGGAAACCCGGTCGGGGTGGAGTTTCTGGAGCTGCGAGCGCGGGCAGGTGGAATCATGAGCGGTGGGCGAACGGGAAATCACCTCTTGAAGAAGCTGGAGGACGAGAGGCAAGAACGGCTTGTCCGACGAAAGATGGCACTCGTCGGAAACCCAGACAGTAGTCACCTCTGCATCGTCGGAATGAAACCCTAGCAAGCAAACGGAGAAAGTCACCGAGTTGGAGTGTAAACTCGGCTCGGCTCTGAGTTGGATGGACCGAGCAGGGTTGTGTTCAGAAGTAGCAAGGTTAAAGACAAATGGCGAGTTCGACTCGTCGGAGTTTGGAAGTTCACATATCCACGTCCAAACATCCATCATAGTTTCCGATTGAATTGGTTTGGAAGTAGCCGGATCGGAGTATAGCTTAAAGAGTGTGGTGAGAGTTGGAGTTAGAGCAGAATATGACAATTTATAGAGAAATGAGTGATGAAAGAGCTGTAAACTTGGAGAGGGTTTTGTCCGCATTTCGGTTGTCAAGAAAGAAAACTAAACTTGTGGCCACAAGGAGGACTTGTATCACTGTTTTGAGCTTTCAGTTTTGGCGGCATTATTTATTATTTTTGTTAGGCTATTAGTTATCTTGAGCAAGTCTGTAAGGAGTAAAGTGCTGACCAGATTGATTTTTTCATATCAGGAGAGGTTCAAACTTCCAACCTCTTAAGAGATGAGAGTGCACGATCACTCACGTCAAGTTGGTTGACATTATTTATTTAGTAGATTTAGATAATAAATACTCGAAGCCAATTACTGTATAGTATGATGACATTTTTGTTACCATTCAAATGATCTAACCCGAGTGGTAGGGGCAATAATATTTTGAGTGAAAAAGATTGAGAAAGTATACAACGGATAATATCTAATAAATAATCATGAATATTTCAAATATATATATATATATATATATATATATATATAATAACTCGAAAAAAAAAATCAAGAAGCTAAACATCTCTACCATTACCATTACAAACAATATGCTATAAGCAATTATTTTTTGATGTGACATTCATGTTTTATCTAGCTGACAAAAGATCATATGGAGATAAATCTGTATATATAAACTGCTCATAATTGATTAATTTAAGGGCAAAAAAAAGTCAATAATTTACTCTTACTAAAATCAATTCCAACTTAAAATCTTGTGATAACTAAACTAATTGTCAGACGATGGGTTGCCCATTCTATTGCCTTCTTATTCATTTATACACGACCGTTTTTATTTTTTGGGTGGTGGGAGTTGCAAGATAATATTGAAGGAGATTGGAGTGTACGTGTATGTAGATGGATGGATCAAATAAAATGAAAGTTTTGTTTGATTTGGAATAGAGATGTGGACACGTATGGTGAAATATAGGGTTGTACGTGCATGTCATGCATGCGGCCAACATTATCATTTCATCTATTGGCAGTACAGTTGGCTTGAGATTTAAAATATATTGTGAACATGAAATGATATTAAATTTGAAGATTTTTTTTTTTTTTTTTTTTTTTTTTTTTAATGGTTGTGAGTTCAAAACTCAGTTCTTGTAGTCCTCAGCCAACCAACACAACCATTTGATTACAAGTTAAATTACAAGGGAAATTGTAGAATACGTATATTGCACTGGAGAATAAGGATTTTAAACTCTTTACAATTTTTTTTTTCCATGATATATATTTACCGTTCAATGTAGTTTAAGGCATTCAGCCAAAATAGAAGAGTAAATCTATAAAATATCTCCTATCAGTTAGAAATTGATTGGTTGTGAAAATAGTCATGGAAATAAACCACCCAAAACGTAGTTATAAAAAATGGGAAAATGATGTAGCTAGGGAAGCACAGATTGGACCAATTATGTGGTATAAATATGAACAATTATGCACTTATTACAAATCACATATTGAGATTTCATGTTGAGTTCAACCCGTTAAGGCCGAGGATTCAAGACAATCACCAGACTCCTCGCCCTCACTCATCAATGTAATACAATTAAGTATAATATACTTAATTAGTTGTATTGAATATTGTTAATGTCACTATTAACATTGTATCAATGTATTATATAATTAAGTATATTATACATTATTGTAATGGATACTATCAACATTAATAATTGTCAAATTATTCTTAGATAACCATAGCTTAGATATGTGACTATCCACCAAGGTTGCAATGACAGAGCTAAGTTATCTTCGTCCCATTGCCATGGGTGCATTATCATCTTATACTCTTATATCTAAGCCAAGGGCTTCGTTTTTGTCCATAACGACCATGCATGGATGAAGACGACTTTGGTCATGTATAAATTGTCACATGTGTACTTAATTAATTATATTTCAACTCAATAAATTATTGTTATTAAATGTGCTAATTGTACTAATTATTTTGAGAGTTTGTGTAGAATAACTTGGGTATAAAATTGTAGAACGGAGGTGTGTTGAAATGGATGCTGTAACAATCCTGACAGCAGACGCTTGACAAAAATTAAAAAAAAAAAAACAAAAAGATAATATTGCAGATAATAATATGTCTTGTCTCTTAGAAAACTTGTCCTAGACCCTTTATATATAGGTGTCTGCGTGCTAGAAAATATAATCAAACAACCTAGAAAGTAAGATCCCTATAAAATGAATCTTAACTAATAACTATAAGAATAATTCAACAATTAGGTTATTTAATAATAAATAAATCAGAAATATATGATGGCCCAACAGTTTGGACTTTGAAAGTTAATATGAAATATTTGATAAGACAATTGTTTTTTCTTCTAAATAATTGAAAACTTATTTAGCTCTTTTTTTTTTTTTTTTTTTACTTTAATAATATTTATTAAATTGAAATGTATTATAAATAAAATTTATAAGGCAGGACAGATCATAAAATTCGCGGGAAGATGCAGTGTTAACTGTTAAGTGAAGACGTACTAATTACCAAATCTAGCAGATGGTGATTTATAGAGAAATGAAGAAAGCGTTAATGGCGTACAAGGAGGTGCTCAGGCTGGTGAAGCGACTCCCAGAAGACACAAGGCCTTACTATGCCAAATACGTTCGAGAGAACTTCGTCAATTACAGAGTAATCGACGCCAACGATTCAGTCTCTCTCCACGAACTGCTTCAACGCACGTACAACCATTCCATCTGGATCTTGAAGAAGGTGAGAATACTCCCATCCTTGCTGTTCTTTGCGCAGTATTCGTATTAGTTCACTAGATATTTAGGTGTTTGGCATGCGTTTTGGTTGTGATACCTTTTGTTTTGTGTTGCCAATTTGGGATTTCGGCGATTCCAGTATTCGGTGGACCAATCGGCGGCGAATAGGCTGAAGGAGATCTGTTCTGCTTGATTGTTTTAGTTGTGCCCACAAACTGTTCGCCGATATTCCCCAAAGAGGCTGCTGAAGGAGATCTGTACTGTTCTGCGTGATTGTTTTAGTTATGCCCACAAACTGTTTGCGGATATTCCCCAAAGAGGCTGGTTAGGAGTTTACTCTTGTTTTCTTCACAGAGTTTAATAAGTTGACACTAATTTTGCGTCCCCACACTCTCACTACATACTTTTCTATGGTTTAGGCAACTCATTGCTGCAACAATTTCTGTTGTTATTTTGCTTTGCTTCCTCCTCTCAAGAATTGTTCTTATGGCATCTCTAAATTTAAAGAATAAAATGAAGCTTTGATATTGAAACTTGCCCAAATCTTTTATCCTCTAGATAAATTGTTAAAACTCCGTTTTTTCGATAAAAAATTATTTCATTATTCAATTTATAGACAAGAATAATTTCACTCATAGCGACCATGGAGGATTTGGGAAGGACTGAGGTAGGGACAAAGTGTTCTTGAGCTCGAAAAACACAGCCTCGAAAGGAGGCAAAGATGTCTGTTAATATGATTCAGTACTATGGGAATTAGGCATTTGATTTTGGGTGATAAATTTCTGGTCAATTAATTAATATGATAATTAAACTTTATTGGAAGAACATATGGAAGTTAGATTGTCTTTTTATCAGTCAGTCTGCGGAAATCTTACGTACTCCGATTCTCCCCCATGTGTATGTTCAGCTCGCATTTTCAACGTCCTTGTCAGCCAGGTTTCGCAAATTCACGCTCAAATAAGGAAAATGTACATCTACTCCCATTTTGTACTTACAACTTGTACTTCCAAACACAAAATTTTAATATAGATATTTGTATTGAGACCTATATGAAAAAATTAACTTATCATAATCGACAGAAATAAAATTTTAAAAGTAAGATTAGAAAATACATGTAGTAAAACTCCCAAATAAAAAACAAAAAGTTATTTTTAAAAAAATACTCGGTAAAAAATAAAAAAGCATGACAATAGACAAACTCAATTGCAAAATAAATTAATCAATCAAATTAACTCTCAAACTATACTGAATAATGTAATTTAGCATTTGAACTAAAATAAATCCATTTAGGTCGGCCTGTCAAGACCTTGTGGTCTAATGGCACCCGGGTTGGACTCCCATATAAGATGTTGTGAGTTTGAGCTTCAGTTGGAGATGTTGGTCTAATGGCACCCGGGTTAGACTTCCATATGAGATGTTGTGAGTTCGAGAAAGTAGTTATGAACAGATACTACATTATAATAGAGTCAGTAAAAAAAAAAAAGTCAGTAAAAAATAAGTCACTAAATTATTATTTGCTCAGAGTTAGTAAAAGAAAAAAAAAGATACTTATAAATAAGTCACTAAATTATTATTGTAATACAGTCAGTAAAAAAAGATACCTATAAATAAGTCACTAAATTATTTAAGAAACATCAATTAAGTCACCGAACTCAAATAACCTCCAAAGAAGCCATTGAACTTGAAAAAAAAGAGCAATTAACCGTTTTAGCAGGTTAACTCCAGGTTTTTGTTGACTGGATTATCAAATGTTTATATTTATTATAATTCACCTGGATTATTTGTAATGCGGCATTAAATTCTCCGGGTCAGCGTGTTTCGCCATGGGCAGCACCGCACAGAAACACTGTCGGCAAGGCTTACACTCAGTCTATATATGACAGAATGCATGTATTACAGTGTTCTGCGCAGAAATCGTCGATTTTCCACCCGGAGAAATAATCTTCCTTCTCCTGACTCCCTTGCGGAAACAAGCTCTGCACTGTGTTGTCCATGCCAAAACACGCTTACTCGGAGAATTTAATGCCGCATTACAAATAATCCAGATGGACAACAACAACAATAGCAGCAACAACAACAACATTGTCAATCCCCTTTCAAAAATAAAAACATTGTCAATCTAGTCAGCAAAAACTTGGAGTTAACTTGATAAAAATGTTAATTACTTTTTTTTCCTGGGTTCAGTGGCTTATTTGAAAGTTATTTGAGTTTAGTGACTTAATTGTTGTTTCCGAAATAATTCAGTGGCTTATTTGTACTTTATTTCATAAAAAAAAAGTACAATTAAGTGTATTAACAAGCTATCAACAAGTTTTAAAAAGTGCAATTAAGTGTATTGCATGCAAAGAAGCCCTCTCTTGGTTGAAAGATCGGGAGAATCCCGCCAAACTCTATTTCGGCTTTGCTCAATTAATATATTTCGCTTTACGGTTGGTTTAAAAAAAAAAAAAAAAAAAAAGTTATCAACAAGTTAACGATGAGTTAGGGCTTACTTATGCACTGATATAGATTCTTTGTTACTTTGATTGTTTGTGTTACAACACAAATTGGATGCGATATGCAAACAAAAATAAAATAAAATGTTACAATCCCATCAATCGCAATTTCATTCAAATATAATGTTCAAATTAATATTCAATTTATATATCAAGGACTAATTTCTTTATAAAATATATTTGAAATAATTTTCAATTATCACATTAATCAAATCAAAGATATGATCAACCAATTGTTATATCAAAGATCAAAGTACACCATGAATATTGTGTATCATGACCTAAGGTCTACAATGCGCATGATAGCCATGCTGGTCTAGGATATAATTATGTATGACTAATTTAATTATGAAAGTAATTATTATATCTGAAATTGTTATTGGGTTTAATAATACTACAATTAGAATAGTTCAACATTACAATTGCTTAAATTTGTACTTGTAAATATAGGAATATGATAGAAATCATGAACCATTTCAATGTGTATAACTACAATCTCATGGTCAATATTCAAATTAAATAAGGTTGCAATTAATTTTGGGAGACTTTAAAAAAAAAATACAAAAATATGGAAGGGGTACTCATGCATCCAGTTGGCACGATCGAATATGAATGAAATTATGTACCATTTTAATATTTATCGCTGTAATTTTACTGTCAAACATCAAATTAATTAATGTAGAAAATAATTTTGAGAGTTTTTTTTCATTACAAAAAGTTGAAATGGAATAAGGTAGGATTGTTGAAATCAAAGCGTTCGCTTAATGCATACATCCAACTGGCTCAATCGAATCTGAAAAGAAATTACTATGACCGAATATGAAAGAAATTATGTACCATTTCAACTTTTTATGGTTGTAATATTACAGTCAAACATTAAATTAATTAATGTAGAAACTAATTACGAGAGTATTTTTTTCATTACAAAAAGTTGAAATGGAATAAGGCAGGACTCTTGAAGTCAAAACGTTCGCTTAATGTATGCATCCAGCTGACTCAATCGAATCTGAAAAGAAATTATGAACCATCTTAACATTTATCGCTCTAATATCGTTGTCAAACACCCAATTAATAATTAATATAACAATCCGATATAGAATACTTTGTCCGTTACAAAATTTTCGATGGAGATAGCCATGGTAGGGGTGTAGAAATAAGAGCGCAGCGTTTGCTGCATGCATGCATCCAGCTGGCACAGTCAAATATGAAAAACATAATATTACGAATTATTTTAGCGTTTTCTACTTTAATCTCGTTGTCAATTTCAAATTAATTAATGTAGCAATCAATTTCCAAATACTTTTTTACGATTTTTAAAATTTGTCTGGGAATAATATCTGAATAGGGTAAGATTTCTCATGAAAAGTAAATCACAATTATCTATCATTTTTTTTCTTATGTTTAATATATAAACATATAAATGCCACACTACTGCTGGTGAGACTCGATTCCTAGTTATTTTTTAACTTTTCACCCCTATGAGAAATTGAGCTGCCCATGGGGGTTATTTCTGGACATTATAATTTTTTAGATTATATGTCACACTACCGCTGGTGAGACTCGATTCCTAATTATTTTTTAACTTTTCACCTCTATAACTAATTGAGCTGCCCATGGGGTTATTTTTGGACATTATAGTTTTATAGATAGATGCCCTAATAAGGGTATGGGCGGGGGCACGGTTTTCTTGGGCAAAGTCGAGTTTGACTGAGCAGACCAGACGATAAAATCAAAGTTCATAGAAATGCAACGGCTGTAACGCCTCTCTAGTCTCTCACAGTTTTACACACACAATTCTTTGTTCTTTTCTATGCACTTGTACTTCTATAAATGCACACAGAAAGAGAGATACACAAATATATATAGAGAGAGAAGAGTGAAAATACAGAATGCAAAGAAAACATTAGCAAATCGCTTACATATATAGCTTTGGTTTCTACCTTAAAACTTCAAAACGAAGAAGCTTCCGTCGTTTTCTCCCATAAACACCCCCCACCCACCCTCTTTAAAAAAAGAAGAAGAAGAAAAGCATCCATGGCGGACGATGACCCTCTGGGAGGAGCTGGGTCCTACTCGCAGCTACTGTTCGGAGACGACGATGTTGTCAGTCTGGGAACAGACTCCGATGGGTGCTTGAATTTCAGTTCGTCGTCGTTTATGTCCTCCGGCGGCGGCAACTCCCCCAAAATGCTGTGTTTTGGTACCAAAGAATGCCGTGACTTGCGTCCCGGAAAGGTGACATGCAGCGAAGATTCTTCGTCGGCATCCTCAGTAACCACCACTAGAAACCACAAGGCCAACGTTAATGTACGTTTCCATTTCTTCTGTGATGAGAATATATATAATTCTAGTTTGTTTTCAAAATCTGGGTTTTAATTAATATAATCATGTCTGTTTTTTGGGGGGTTTCGTTTCTGTGATCGAAGAGAAAGCGAAATAATGGGGCGGCGGAAAATAAGGATTCAGATCAAGAAAGGGGAAAAGCCGCAAATCAGGGAAACGGTAAGAAGAACAAGCCAGAAAATCCGAAAGGGACAACCCATGCAAAGGTCAGAGGTTCTCTGCATGCTTACATAATACATACATATATAATTAGATGGGATTAATGTAAATTTTGACGAAAATTAATGATGAATTTTTGCAGGGCAAGAGAGAGAAGCTCGGCGACAGAATTGCAGCCCTGCAGCAGCTCGTTTCTCCCTTTGGAAAGGTTAATTAATTTCTGTACATTCTTTTAATTTCACTTTTCTTTTCTTACAGTGATCAATTAAGTTTTAAAGAAAAAGAAGTAAAAATGTGGACCAACCAGTTAAGTTGGTTGGTCATACAAGGACTCTCTAGTATGAATCTTTTTTAGTTTGAGCTGATCAGCTATGATTATTTTATCAGTTTGAGCTAATCAGGACGTTATTAATGATTTATCTAGAGTCATAATGTGAGATTTATTTGATTTTTCTGGGTATTAAAAACAATGAATGAATTGATTGCAGGGAGATACGGCGTCTGTGTTGCATGAAGCCATGGGATATATAAGGTTTCTGCAGGAACAAGTTCACGTGCTATGCTCTCCGTATCTGAACCCGCATCCTTCCTCCTCCCAACGCCACCGTCAGGGCGGCGGAGAAGCCATGGGATCCGGCGGCGGGAACCCGCCGAACATGAGGAGCAGGGGGCTGTGTCTTGTCCCAGTAGACCTTACCTTGCATGTGGCTCATTCCAACGGCGCAGATTTCTGGTCACCGGCGGCGGCGGCCATCTCGGTCTCCGAACCCAACCCGCCACCGCACTCAACTCTCAACTAAATCTGCCATTTCTTTCGTTTTTGAAGCAGCGCAGTCTGTGATAAACGTACGACTGCGGCAGCTAGGTTCAGTAGTAATTAGTGTCAGATCAGTAGCGATATGATATGATGATGACAGATCTAGAATAGGCAGTGGATACATGGTAGTTTGGAGGGGGGGGTGTGTAAATTGAAAGTTGATTGGGAAATGTAATCGTTTTGGGAAGATGCAATGGAAAACGCAAGCTTTCTTGTCATGGAGTCTGGGGATGATGATGATGCTGTTTTTAATGATTTTTTTTTTCCTTGGAAGTTAAAAGTGACAGACATGAGGCTTTGGCATGTCTTCCACTTGGCCTTCTTAATTTGTTTCTGCTGTTTGTGTTTGTACTCTCCTCATTAAAAACTCACATAGTCACATTCCCGCCTAACATTCACCCATCCGAAGAGTAAATGATCGTTCAATTGTTCAGTAGGTCACTATTTGAAAAAAGAAAATAATGTTCAAACTTTGTCAGCATAAGAATTATGTTTAAAATAGACATATCTCTTATGCACACTGATTTACACCCTATCAAATATTTGTCGGGTCAGGGTGTGTAAATCCATTGTGCCCACCGACATTTGACTGATTTACACCCTCGCAGATTTTTTGTAGGATCGATCGAAATGTGGAACTCTTAAGATTGAGAATTCAACCTATTGAAAGAAGAAGAATAAATGATCACCATTTATTACTTTGTATTTATTACTATCTATCTATCCCTTTTACCTTTTTTTACATTCAATACTATTTTCTTATTAATCAATTATGCTACACACCTCTACCATTACCAACTCTTTTACCTTTTTTACATTCAATACTATTTTCTTATTAATCAATTATGCTACACACCTCTGCAATTACCAACTCTAGTAATTACTCTTTTAACGTGCCATTTTTTGAAAGGAAAATATGTAAATATATTAATTATCAAAAGCTAATTGTTGAATACTTGAATGATAGATTGAAAACCAAATACGAGGATCAGACTGTGAAAAAACTTTTTTTGTCAGCACATGAGCAAGCTTATTCGTTGATCTATGAATAAAACGAAACGACACATTATCAAGCTATCGTTTAAGGTTGCAACATTCCTTGAGGAAACAACCTGCATAGGAATTATCTGGAGCAGAAGGCATCAAAGACGACACACTAACTGGCAATCCGAAAAAATCACCAGATTTCTGGAACAGTACTATTAACTTCGGATGTGGTCTTATTAACTCCGAGTATAGTTAGCCAATTCACCATTATTTATAATAAATATTTTAAAAAATCTTAATTAGAGTGATAATTGTAAAGGTGAGAAACATTTTCTTTTTCAAATCTCGAAATTTTTATAAAAATTTTTACAAATATATCATTAATCACAAGACTTTTATAGTAAATTACTCATTTTAATGAAAAATTACATTATATTGTTAACTTTCAATTGTTACTGCTGATGTAATTAATTTAGTTCGTTGTTAAAAAATTTTAAAAATTTAATTCTTTAATTGTTTGAATTTTTGGTTGGCTTGCAAAAGTCACCAAAAACATTTGGAACTAGAGTTTTTTTTTTTTTTTTTTTTTTTTTTTTGGAAAATTGGAACTAGAGTTTTTAGAATATTATGTTAGGGTTTTAGAGGTGAATAAGTTGATGAAAATTTGTGGATTTTAGATGTTATAACTGAAACATTTTAAAACCATCCTTTTTTTTATTTTTTTTTGATAGGAAAAACAATCCTTTAAAAAGTCTCATTCCAAACATTTTGTGCGACTTTCGTTAGTAAAATGATTAAATTTATATATTTTTTTAAAAAAATAAGGAATTAAATTATATAATCAACAACAATTAAAGGACCAAAAGTGTCTTTATTTATTTATTTATTTATTTTGTTTTACAAAGTATAAACATATAACACATCATATCATAGAAACCGGATATCAAAAGGTCGACAATTGTAGCCAGATAACGGCAAATTATGCTGTGCATTCGTATGCACCATGCATGGTGCATACGGATGCAAAAACGACGTCGTTTTAATAAAACACGCGTCTCCCCTTTAAAAAAAAAAATTAGGTTCGATTCTCAGCAACAACATATGAACTAAAATTTCATAATCTAATCTATGAACTAAAAATTCCAGAATGAATGAACTAAAATTTCATAATCTATAAACTAAAATTTCAGAATCGATGAACTACAATTCCATAATCGATGAACTATAATTCCATAATCTATGAACTAAAATTCCAGAATGAATGAACAATATAATGTTGTTGCTGGGAATCGAACCTGAATTTTTTTTAAAGGAGAGACGCGCATTTTTTAATAAAACGACATCGTTTTGGCATCCGTATGCACCATGGTGCATACGGATGCACAGCATAATGATTGCCAGATAACAATTTCGTTTGGACAGAGCGACAGAGCCCAATTATTTGTCTGGGGCCAACTATGTTTTGTAATGGGCCAACTTCTAAGCCCAGTATTTACTGGCAAATTATATTGTTCCACGTTGTAATGTTGACGCAACGTAGACCATGAATAAATGTACATTTTTAATATACTAATTAGGAATAAAATGTTTGTCACTTATAAAGGAAAGTGTAATATTTTTTAGGACAAATGTAATACTTTTACATTTTGATGTTACATTTTTCTTTATAAGTAATGTTGACAAGTGTTTATTACTTATACAAGAAAATGTAATACTTTTGAGAAAAAATGTAATAATTTTAAATAAAAAATTTAAAAGTACTACATTTTTCATCAAAAGTATTACATTTTCTCATATGAGTAATATATATAAATATTTTATTCCTTATTAGTATAATATTTTCTAGTATAAGTATTACATTTGATCTTAACCCAACCTCTCTCACGAACTAGGATCCATGAAACGGTCTCACACAAGTTTTTGTCATTATTCGGCAGTATGCATACATCTACGGAAGCGAAATAATTCTTTATTACTTGTGAGAGCATCCATAATAGTTTAGTTTTTCACGGTTTTTAATGATCCAATTAGGAGAGAGAGAAAAGAGAAGAACAGAAGAAAGAAAAAAAAAAAAAAAAAAAAAAAAAGTAACAAGTAAAAAAGCCTCCTAACACGAAAACAGGGAAAAGAAAAAAAAAAAAAACCATCTAACGCGCCCAGCGTCTTTGTGCCCAAGATTGCGAACAATCCTCCCCTTCTTCTCTTGCAGGAGATCAAGATTGATTCTCTTTCCTTCTTCTCTTACCTTCACATAACAATGGACCCCACAAAAAACCAATAAAAATCCATTGATATGAATCCTCATATAAAATAATACATTTAAGAGTACAAGTGTCATATTTATATATAATTCTATGGTAAATTTACAAAGTAGTTTATTCGCCATTCTTTAAAAAAGAAAAGAAGAGAATAGAAAGTGCAACTTGATGCAAATAACGTTTTGCACCAAAAATGTTGTGGGAAATGGTGTTGACTATTATGAATACTATGGAGTATATCATGTGTAACTCTAATTAATTAATAATCCATTGTAAGTTGTACCTTAATTAGGGACATGCAAATCACGTTAAACTTATAAAAGTACTAAATCGTATGCTTGCAGTTAGTCCCCACTACCTAATATATACGTTTGGTTTTGTTCCATGGACAACACAAAATATTGTGCACGGTTACGACACTAAATACTTTTTCAATAAAAATATACTTTTTAATAAATATTTAAAAATAATTTTGATTAAAAAGTAACATGTATGCTACGATCTCATATAAAATGTTATATTGTGTGTATATTATATATGTTTAATATGTTCTCACTGCCCCACTTAAGATATAGTTCAATTTACAACATTCATGGTTTTTTTCGTGTAATATTCTGAAATCAAATTAAATATTGTGTTTTTAATTAAAATTTTAAATTAATAATTGCAATATGTATTTATATTTTATATACGTACGCTTCATGGATCATGCATACCGCTGAAGTTGTTGATAGCTGATTTTTTTTTAATAATTGTGGTGGGTGCAAGTGGAGTAATAAACTAATAATCTATAGGAAGCAGTCATATATATATATATATATATATATATATATATATATAGTCGGGTTCCTATGAGAACAGGTCTTCCCGTACGGTCAGTGCGACATACACCATTAGATATACATAAATGCACCACACAGTGTTTGAAAATACACCATTATGTGTGGTGCATTTTTTGACATTTCATTCTGGTGTATTCTCGAACACTGTATGGTGCATTTATGCATACCTAATGGTGTATGTCGCACTGACCGCACGGGAAGACCGGTTGTCACATGAACCATATATATATATATATATATATATATATATATATATATATATATATATATCGAGCACATTGTGCTCAGATGTGGCATGTAGTGACTTCTTTGATGTGAGAGGTCATGAGATCGAGCATCAGGCGCTGTTGACACTGTGTGTTTCATTAAGTTGAGAAAGTATGTTTGAACAGATACTACAATGTAATAGAGTCAGTAGCATTCAATATATATATATATATATATATATATATATATATATATATATATATATATATATATATATAGTACATGTGTACTATGAGATTTGAATTGCTTATATATATCCTTTTCATTACGAAAAATATATTGTTACCTTAGCTTTGACATTTGGTAGCTTTACGACTTTATTATTGCGGCACTAGTGTACATTCAAGTTGAATTGTTCTGATCTCTTTGTACTAAAAAGTATAGAAATTTAATGCAACAATATAATGTTGCGGAACTTGACACTAGATGCTGCATGGATCGGAGAGAAGTTTAATGTCTCTTAACAAACTCGAATCTTGAACAATTTCGCTCCCAACACTACATGGCATGCATACACTCAAATGGCGGTCTAATTAAGATTTGGTAGTTGAATGGTACTATTTTTGTGACTTTAGATTATAATGTCATAGGTTTAATATTCAACCTTTTAAATGCATGAGAAGATGATTAGGGTGTGCGATGTACCATGTTATTTAAAAGAAAATGAAAATAATACATAAATTCTCGGAAAATAAATCTTGTTCACATGTCATGATTTTATTGATAGAAAAAATAATAATAATAACAATAAGAAAAAATAGTTACATGATTATTCCAAGTTTAGAAGTATAAAAAAGTAGCGAATTTTATTTAATTTTAAGGATTAATACTTGAACTTTCACCAAAATAATTTTTGTAAATAATATATTAATCTGCCGACGATCCTACAATGCAACTTAAATTACTTTGCCGTTGGGAAGATGCTTTTCAACTTTACCGTTGCTCGAACGGTGAAGAATTTCGTTTACAAACCGTTGCATGTTGCGGTCGGATGAGCCGCCGTCTTCCACCGCTTCCTCCGCTTTCTTCTTCCACTTGGCTGCATTCTCTCTAATCTTCGCCGCCGTTGGGCCGCTCGTCGCTTCCAGCAAGCACTTCTCTATCTCTTCCCGCGGGATTAGCCTATCTTCGGCCTCACCTCTGCACAATCTCAGTCCGGTCTTGAAAACATCGACGGAGTATTTTGCGTTGGTGACTTGATCGCCCCATTGCGGGAAAGCTATGGTGGGCGTCCCGATGGTGAGGGCTTCCATGGAGGAATTCCACCCGCAATGGGTCACGAAACAGGCGACGGAAGGGTGGGCCAACACGCGCTCTTGCGGGCACCATTGCACCACTCTCCCTTTCTCCCCCGCTCTCTCCAGGAACCCTTCCGGCAGCACCGCCGGCTTGAACGCCGCCCAGTTGCTCGGCGGCTTCATGGACCACAGGAAATTCAGGCCGGAGCTCAACAGCCCCTCCGCTATCTCGTCCACTTGTTCCTGTTTCAAGACGGCGATGCTCCCGAAGGATATGTACACGACGGAAGCCGGCGGCTTGGAGTCCAGCCACTCGATGCAGTCGTCGACTTTCACGAAGTCGCCGCGAACTTCCGACAATCCTGCGAGTTTTTCGGGGTCCTTGAAAAGTGGGCCCACCGTCATGATGGGACACGATTTAGACATGCATTCAAGAACCTCTCCTTCGAGCTCCTGGAAAGTGTCCATTAGTATACAGAAGGGTTTGGATAAGTTCTTGAATTGCCCTAAAACGGCTCTTGCCAGAAATGGAAAGGGACTGGAAGGGTGCAAGAAACTCGGGATTTCATCGTACTTCAACAATGGCATGCACGGCAACTGAACATCACTTTCCGGCTCCGATTCCGACGGGAACGGAACTGATTTATTATAGTAATGGTAATAGCAAGAAAAGGAAGCGCAAGATTGAACCCAAAGCACGGCGTTTGGAATCCCCAGGCTCTCCGCCACGTCGGAAACCCAAGGAATGAACGGATTATGGATCAAACAGCAAACCGGCCGGCCTTGCTTTTCATATTCCTTCACCATCTCCGCCACTTTCCGGGAGCCAACCAGCTGGAGATGATCGATGTAAAAGTCGACGTCGTCGCCGTTCTCGGAGTGCGGGAACTCGTCGTCGAAGAACTCGAACCTTATCATGCCGTCGCCGTACGGCGTGGGTTCGCCGGAGATGTTGCTGTTGGCTTTTCTCATGTCTCTCCCCACCGTTTCCGGCGCCGAGAAGGTGACGAGGAGGCCCTTGCTGGCCAGCCGCTTTCCCAGCCTGAGCAGCGGGTTCACGTGGCCCTGCCCGGGAAACGAGATGAGTAAGGCGTGAGGGAGAGACGGTCCGGCGATTTCTTTAGAGCCCATTTTCGTCGACGACGGGGAATGCGGCGGCTTATGGCGACGGACGGAGCTCTTGAGGGGTGGTAGTGGACCGTGATAGCTGAAACGATGCAGTTTTATATATAGCGGTGGACACGTTGGCGGAGTAATCTATAGGAAGTTGGGAGCCAAATTTCATGTATCGTGCAAGAAATATCATTTATATTTGTATTTGTATACTATAAGACTGTTACACGCGGGGATTATATTTATTTATCAACCTTTCTGGTTAAGGAAGATGCACGTGCATGCCATGTATTGCAGCTGCTTAATTGCATGAAATTCATGAACATTTTTGCTGGAAATTTGTCAGTTAGATGAATTTTTTTTTATTTTTTATGTGTGTATATATTTTTGGTAAATTTTTTTGTTTCTTTTAAGTTTTGACCCTCAATAGTAATTCAACAAAAGTGTCTCTTTAGGACAAGACCAACCCATTGTCGTCAGAAATGCAGACATGCAAAAACCTCTATCATATTGGAGGGATCTCTTTGTAAGAATTTCGGGCCCTCCATGGATCCATCAAGTTTAATTTCTCAATAGAAATGGGATCAAACCTTTGACCTTTGGTTAAGAATGGATAACTCCCTTTCACTCAATCACAATTTTGTAAAGGGTTGTATTTGATCATATAAAAGTCCATGAACAGCTATTCAAGCTCATATGACAGACCTAGTAGGCCCAAATTTATACTTCAAAATTCACAAGGTATCGCAGATCCAAGTATTATTCGGGTCATGTGTAATGGCCCACACTTTAAGAGTCCACTCGTCCAAGAAGAGATTTTAGCCTAACTCAATGGATGAAACTCACTCTCGATAAGGAAACAAGGAAAGTCTTGCAAGGGACGTGCAGCCAGGAACTCGATATATCGTGGACCGTAGTGCATAATCGATTATGAATCGCGTAACAGAATGATGTCGTTTTTTTAAATAAAGAAACAACATGCTGTTAGTGTATACTAAGTGACACTACACTGTATCTAAACTGACACTGCCTCACGTATTATTTTTATATTATCAAATAAAACTGCAGTTATATCAAAATGATCCTGTAGTTGTGGTGAATGAAACTACAGTATATATAAAATGAAACTGAATAATATTTCACATATTTGAATGTATATTGTACAATGAAGCTGTAATTAGTTTTTTGCACTTTTGGTCCCACGACTATAGTGGCACTATTAGAATTGATCCACAACTTTCAGACCTTGCAATTTTAGTCCACGACTATTGTTTTTTTGGCAAAAATGGTCCTTCCGACCACTTTTCCGTCAAAATTTCACCGGAGTAAAATTTCTTTATTTCTAAGAAGGCTAAAGTTGACATGTTTAAGAGGCTTGTATTACTGATTGTTGACTGCCATATTTTGCAATAAAGAATTGTTTTTTATCTAGGAAGAATTGTTAAGGGAAATGCCAAATTTAGCCCTCTTAAAAATGAAGAAATTTTACTCCGGTGGAATTTTGACAGAAAAATGGCCAGAAGGACCATTTTTGCCAAAAAAACAATAGTCGTGGACTAAAATTGCAAGGTCTGAAAGTCATGGATCAATTCTGATAGTGCCACTATAGTCGTGGGACCAAAAGTGCAAAAAACTCGAAATGATCATGTAATTGTGTTTTAATAAAACTATAGTGTATATAAAATAAAATTAAATAAAATTTTCACATATTTGAGTATATAAATATTGAATGAAACTGTAGGTTGTGTTGAACTAAAACTGCAATGTATACAAAATGAAACTGAAGAACATAGTTATTTTTTACGGAACGGCGCGAGACGGATTCAATTTCTTTTCATTAAATAAAACGACGTCGTTTTGATGCGTGGTGCATAATCGATTATGCACCGCGGTGCACGATATAATTTGCCGCAACCAGGCCACTTTGCCGCACCACAACACGTGGCTCAGTGGGGGCACAATCGAATTGTTATGTTGTGAACTAGAGCGCACAATGCATCATACGCTTTAAAATTCTCTATTTCGTATATACATAATTATATAATAGAATATGCATAAACTCTTAACATAATATACATAATTTAACATAATATATAATACACATATAACATAATACATATAAACTCTTAGGGGGCGTTTGGTTCACGGAATCTTGGATTACCCCAGGTAATAGGATTACCTCCTGGAAGGTAATGTGAGATTTTGGGAATGTAAGATTACCTTGTGTGTTTGGTTTGGATGGTGTAATATAATATTACTTTGTTTGGTTCAGGATTATATTTTAGGTTATATGAGTCAATTTACAATAATGCCCTCAATAATATATATATATATATATATATATATATATATATATATATATATATATATATGTGTGTGTGTGTGTGTGTGTGTGTGTGTGTGTGTGTGTGTGTGTGTGTGTGTGTGTGTGTGTGTGTGTGTGTGTGTGTGTGTGTGTGTTTTTTATTTATATCTATGAATCTATATCAAAACTTAAATATTAAAAAAAAACTAAATATATAAATATACACATATGTATATTTAATTATATAAACATATATTAATTTCATTATTATTATTATTATTATTATTATTATTATTATTATTATTATATAAAGATTAGTAAAAAGGGTAAAGTTGGAATAATTCAAGGTAATCTAAGATTACCTAAAAAAATGGGGGTAATCACATTACCTTGAAACATTACCGCCACATCAGCTTTCAGGTAATATAATATTACCTGGTAATCTCATAACTTGAACCAAACAAGGTAATATAACATTACCAGACTCAGATGACCTAGGTAATCCAAGATTCCGTGAACCAAACGCCCCCTTAATATAATATACACATAAACTCTTAACATAATACATATAGTTCTTAATATGCAAAATGATGCACGATATAATTTGCCCACGACCATATTCTAATGCACCACTTTAATTAGTTCAATTAGAACCCGGAGAGAGATACGGTGTAAAATATATTTATATTTTTTAAATTGATTGCAGGCGAAACCCTAGTCATCCGGCGTCGAAATCCGGCATCGCTAACAAAATTGTGTAGAGATTTTGGAGAAAGAGCAGCGGTGGTTAAATTCCAGTTCATCTTCTATGGTCGAATAGTTCTGCAGAGAGCTCAATTCGTTGAAGGATTTCGGAGATGTCATCGACGGGTAGATCGGCCGCTGTAGCAGCCGGAGACTTGCAGGTGGTTCCGATGGAGGACAAGGCAGTGGCAGGCCTTCCTCCGCGACCCCCGACGTCTTCCTCCACTGCTTTAGTAGAATACACGCCGCCGGCACCTAATCCTGAAGAGGAGGACCTTGAAATAAAGCTCCGCCGTATACTTGAATGTGTCCCCGTCCGTGTTAGCAATACTTCTGGTAGCTCCGCCGGTTCTGGCTCCGGTGACTTTCATCAGGTATCCTGATATCCTTAGAGTTATATTAATAGCTAAAGTTTCACCCCTTTTTATGTTATGTAATTGGAGGATGAGTATTGTGGCTTGCTGTTTGTATTGCATTCATCGATTGTTACTGAACTGCATAAGCTCGTGTTGAGTGTTGATAAATCTAGGGTCCAGGAATCTTAGGTAGGATTGATTTGTAGCATTTATCTAGCAGCTAGCTTATTGTTGTCATGATGTTTAATGGAAAGTTGTCAGTAATGTTGAATGGTAGCTAGGGGATGCTGGTGCAAACTGTTAGTGAGGGGTTGAAACTTCAAGGTTTGATGATAGAACAAAGGATTTTGATAGGAAACGAGATTGTTAGGTTGATGAGACACATGAACAAGCGGAAATGTTTATTTTAGTTGTTTTGGTTTATACCAAAGAAACTTAAATTATTGTACAAAGTTAATCCTTGTAATGGAGTAGGTGAAGTTATGCCTATTGTCTTGTATATGTTCTTTGTTAGAAGATCATTAAGCCTGCCCGTGAATACCATCTTTATCATTTCATGCAAAGCTGCCCTACCTTTGTGAATTAGACACTCTGGTTTCTGATTAGTAAGAAGCACCTTTAGTGTGTGTGTGTGAACATCCTAGTATGAAAACCATTTGGTTTCTGATTAGTAAGAAGCAGTAGGAGATGAAGCTTTTAATCCACATATGGTTGCTTTCACGAACCATATATCCACATAGAAGAGTGTATATATATACTCCGTATTTTGTTGCACCTTTAGTGAGTGTGTGAACATCCTAGTATGAAAACCATTTGGTTTCTGATTAGTAAGAAGCAGTAGGACGTGAAGCTTTTAATCCAAATATGGTTGCTCTCACGAACCATATATCCACATAGAAGAGTATTATATACTCTGTATTTTGTTGCACCTTTAGTGAGTGTTTGTGTGTGTGAACATCCTAGTATGAAAACCATTTGGTTTCTGATTAGTAAGCTGTAGGAGATGAAGCTTTTAATCCATATATGGTTGCTCTCGCAAACCATTGAACTTGATTTGAGGAGTTGGTATGTTTACGTATAAGGGGAGTTAGTCTCGAGATCTCTTATGAAAAGTCTTACATTTATATAATTAAACTAAGGGGACTTGATTTTAGGTATCAGTATTTTAACTTCTATAGGCATTTCCTTTTTGCAGTATCGGCAGATGAGGCGAAAAGAACAAGATCGCCTTGCAAGGATGGATGTGGATTACCAAAAAAGAAAAGAAATGGCAGAATTCAACATGAGAAGAGAAGAAAGATTGAAAGCTGCCGAGGAGCGCACTGCCAAGAAACGATTGAAACGCCAGAAGAAAAAGCAGAGGAAGAAGGGAAAGAAAAGCCAACCAACTGCAGGTGGAGAAGAACAGCAAAGAGTAGAATCCTCCGATGATGGAGAGTCGGATAATGATGAAGAAGCTGAGAGATGATTGAAGTTATTTGTCATCTTTTATATTGTGTAACTCTTGTTGGTTTGCTTTATCTGCTTCCAACCAACCATGTAGTTCCAAGAAAATACTATGAGAATCATGGGATAGTTCAAAGCAGAGTTGCAGCTTTATTTGCTTTCAGATCAATTGCTATATCAAGTGCAGGCTTTTGTTGGAAACTCAGTCAAAAATATGGTAAAATTTTGGGCAGAATTTTGCCTGTAACA